TGGGGCGAAAATGGTATCAGTGCATCACCAACAGAACATTCACTATTTTAAAACACCTCTTTGTTCGGTAAAGGGGTGTGCCATCTTCCATCTTCAAAGTGAGCAAGTACCCCCTGGCTCTTGACAAGAACTCCCTGGTGCTTGTCCAATTCCTAGAACCAAGGGGGGCTTTGAACCCTTTGGCTCTGGGATTGCGGCTGTTCAATATGTCAAACAGCCTGTCCGTTATCTATAAACAAATATCTAAATTAACTGGAAGCACTGAAATCATCACCATAACTGTGGTGTCAACAGGTATCAGATAGTAAACATCCAAGTATGAGGAATAGCGATAGAACTATATTTCCTCTGTGGCTGTGCTTTTTAAAATGAAATTGCTGCACTGCTTTAAACCTGTAAATCTGAGATGTGACAATAAGGGTGCTTCTGAGATAAGTATGAGGTAAGTATAAACATTATCCAAGTGCTTGCATATTGTTGAATTTGCGGATGGTCATAAATATTTAATCATTCCCGATGCCCAATTCAAATGTTAATGTATTAATGTTGTGTTATATAACGAACAACAAAAACAGAAGATCTACAAACGGTGTGTTTTCACGTTTTTGTGAAAACTTAAAATCTGAAATATCTCACCTGTGATGACATGACAAAATGGGAATGCCACCAGGATCAAATGGATTAAAGCAATTAATCACTCAAATGTTGTTAAGAACAGTAGAATATTGGAAAATGAATTTTGGTCAATGATGCAAATCCCTAGCTGTATTACCTCAATGAAGTCTGTAGTAGCCTCACAGTCTTTGAACTCTGCATAGCCCATCTCCCGCAAGGTGCGGAGCGCCACTGCCACAGAGTTACTCAAAGTCTGAGCAGCCAGGGAGACCTTGATTGAGTTTATAAGGAGATAGTTCAAATGAAGAGCACATTAGCTCTACAAGATACAAACATCATCACCACGGATAAAAACACAATAAAGCCTTAGAGCCTATTTCTATTGCGGCCCTCAGAGTGTTTATATATATCTATGCCCACGTATGTGAAAACACTTTACGATCAACTGTACTGTAGTGCCGAGAGAAGGGAGACGGAGGCGGTGCATCGGAGGTGCAAATCTCTCTTTATTGGGGAGCAGAAATCGACGTGCTGTCGGGTTGCAGGAAAGAGGAGAAGAGAAAGTGAAAGAGGAGGACACACAGTAGGTACCCCGGAGGTACCGTCAACATATATGTCCGGGCGGAAACAATACCCCCAACCTGTAGTTCCCAGATTGAATTATGTAACCCCAGTGTATGAATCAGTGATCACTACACAAGCCCCCCCAGAATTCAACCATGGACACAATCCTCGCGTCGGGAGGAAGCACCACAGGGGCCGAGGAGGGCGGGCCATGGAACGGGTCGTCGGAAGGGGGCCGCAGGAGAGGGTAGGGGCCCCAACGAAGGCGAGGGCATCCCCACCGGAGGGTGGGGGGCGGGCCGGAACGGGCCGACGTCAGGGGGCCGCAGAAAGCAGGGTCGCCGTGTAGCGACGAGGGGACAGGCGTGGAAAAAACCCGGTGGTCCCCAGCAGGGAGGAGCGCTGCCCGGCCGCAGGCGAAGGCACAGCGGCGGCGGGCACGAAGTCCTCGGGAGGAAGGAGCCGTGTCCCCGGGAGGAGGGAGACGTGGACAGGGGAGAGGCCAGACGGGGCGCCGTCGAGGCGAACCGTGAGCCGCGGTCAGAGGAGAGGCCAGGCAGGGTCCCGAAGCGTGCGTTCGAAACCGCCGAGGCGAGGGAAGAGGCGAGACGGGGTCCAGAAGCGCGTCACCCACGGGCCGAAGCAGGAGTGTGTGACGTCCGAAACCGCCGTCGAGGTGGTGATACAGCGAGAGGGTCCACACGAGGCCGACCAGACATAGTCAAACCTCTTCTCAGGCACCAGAAAAAGCTCAAAGGGTCGTCCCGTCCACGATCAAAAACAGGTGGGCGAAATAGCGAGAGGGTCCACACGAGGCCGACCAGACGTGATCGAACCTCCTCTCCGGCACCACAAAAAAAAAAAAAATAATAAAAAAACAGTCGGACGTCGATAGCCGCCGGTAGCTGCCAGTCACCGTCAGCCGTTGGTAGCAGCTAGCCGTTAGCTGTCGTGGCTAGCTGTCGTCAGCAGTCGAGGCCAGCCGTTCTCGACGGCCGGTAGTCGCCGTCGTCGGCCCCGGAGCCTCTGCTAGGCGGCGAGCCCCCCCCAGGGAAGGTGCTGCAGCGAGCAGTGGCAAGCACCTCAGGGGTAAATCGCCGGGCGGCCAGGAAGAACCGGCAAGCTTCTTCGGCCAAAGCGTGGGGCTCAACACTAGCCGTGTTAGCTAGCGCAGCCTGGACATGCAGCCGCATGTCCCGAAGAAACAGCCCCACGAGGTAGAAGTCGGGTTCCTCCATACCTAGCAGGTCGTGCATCGTCTCCTCGTAGCAGGAAGGCTTGCTGCCTTCCAGTGCCGAGACGAAGCGGGAATGGCGAGCGACGTCCCCAGCCATTCCGTGGGGCGCACCGAGCCTCAGTCCGTGCGCACGTGGCAGCAACGGAGGTCCCCAAAAATCTCCGGCATTTCGAGAAAAAACAAGAGTTTTTTTGCCGTGTTCGGTTCAGTCTCGGATCCTTCGCGAGACTTATGTCAGGGTCACCAATGTAGTGCAGAGAGAAGGGAGACGGAGGCGGTGCATCGGAGGTGCAAATCTCTCTTTATTGGGGAGCAGAAATCGACGTGCTGTCGGGTTGCAGGAAAGAGGAGAAGAGAAAGTGAAAGAGGAGGACACACAGTAGGTACCCCGGAGGTACCGTCAACATGTATGTCCGGGCGGAAACAATACCCCCAACCTGTAGTTCCCGGATTGAATTATGTAACCCCAGTGTATGAATCAGTGATCACTACAGTACCTTCATTTAATATTCAGCAGTAATAATATCTCGACGTCTATAGATGTAGTGTTAAAGTCCGTAGGTTTTGGTGTGCAACACTCCATGTCATTTTCACTTCACATTCAGAAAACGTAATATTAGCCACATGCTAAATACTGACCGGATATGAAGGATTTTCAGAATAAAAGCTTGGCATTGAGATTTCACGAGAACTTCTGGGTTTTTTCACAATAAAACAGCTTTTAAACTGACGATATGTTTTAGACTAAATTATGCTATTAAACATTGATTTTAATTTCTAACAGACTCTAGGTCAGATTTCAGCAGGTCCTTCAGCTCACTGACTGCGTCTTCTACAGGAACCACCTTGTGACTCTGGTGGAGAGAAAACTCACAGACAGGACACACAGCTCTCTCTTCATCCATACAGAACAATCTAGGCTCTTCTGGATGTTTACTACACACCACCTCCACCTTCTTCTCTCCTTTTTCTGTCTCAGATGATCCAGCTTTCTGTCTCTCAGCAAATGAGTCAGCCAGCTCCTTCAGTGTAAAGTTCACCAAAAGAAAATCTTTAGAAGATTTTCTTTTACAAATGGGACAGTTTTTGTTCTTACTTTGTTCCCAGAATGTCTGCAGGCAGCTCGAACAGAAGCTGTGGTTGCAGCCCAGAGACACGGGATCTCTGAAAGTCTCTGAACACACATGGCAGCTCAGGAAACTTTCAACAAGAACGGTTTTCTCAGCCATTTGATAGTAAAGTTATTTTCAATAGCAGGACTCACCAACTTCCAATGTCTCTCCACTTCTCCCCAAATATACTCCAAACGTGTCTCGCAGCAGAGATCTCACACCCTGTAATGGCGTCTCAGCTCTGTTCAACAATGTCAAAATCCTCTTTCGTTTTCTCTGCCCTCCGTCGCAGGGTGAATTATCAACATCAGGAAATGCTGCTATGTCATCTATTCACCACCAGATGGAGTCAGGATGTCTTTCAGAGGGACATGTACTTTGGTATTCAGTTCAGGACGATGACTTTGTCCAGGTAGGCCTATCTGTTGGAAGATAAACACATAAGATTTAATACGTTTAAAAAAAAAAAAACGTGATAAAAAGGAAAATGCTCATATATCAAAGTTTGAAGTGCACAGTTTTTGCTCTTACTTTGTTCCCAGAATGTCTGCAGGCAGCTCGAACAGAAGCTGTGGTTGCAGCTCAGAGACACAGGATCTCTGAAAGTCTCTGAGCACACATGGCAGCTCAGGAAACTTCAAGAAGCGGCTCACCTTTTACTTCCCCTCGGTTTGCCTCTTACAGTCCTCTAACTGTGCGTTGTTGCACGTTGTTCAGATTTAAGTATTAACAGGACCCAGACACTGCATGAGATAAAGTCATTATCCTTTTATTACTTAAAGTAATATCAACTGTTTATTTAAAGGTGGGGTAGGTAAGTTTGAGAAACCGGCTTGAGATACACTTTTTGTTATATTCCATGGAATGCTCTTAACATCCCGATAGCAATGAATATCTTAAGTGCTTTGACAACAAATCCATAAAAAAATGTCATCTGTGGAAGCCGTAGTACTGTAAAAAGCACAACCAATCATTTTAGCCGGCCCGGCTAAAATAACTGGATGGCCTACCTGCCTGTCAGCCTTCCATCTGTGCACAAACTTATCTCATGCCCTCATTGGTCATGTGCGCGTTGTGTGTGTTGGAGGAGGGGCTCTGTAAGGAAGTGGCAGATTTTCTCCGGTTGTGTATTTTCAAATTCCAGCGCACTCGAGCTGGTTTCTCCAAAATCACCTACCCTACCTTTAAGTGTGTGACAATTTAAATGGAACAGGGAGTATGTGTTGGTGTGTTGATCATCAAACTCCACAAGTGTTAGAAAGTTAATAAAATATAACATATTAGTACATATTAATAGTAATAACATATGCATTTCATCTTTAATTGTTTTCCTTAAACAGAACAACACCACAGAGGTCTGTCTGGGGTTTAAGAAAATATAACGATAGGCAGAAAGTGAATTACTTTACATTCAAAAGAGTTGTTTTTTGAAACAGCTGCAAACTCGTTTTTGGTAAGAAATAATACAATTGGCAACAAATACCTTTGATTGAGACCACTGAAAGGTGTTGCAGTATTTTATTTGAGAAAACAAGTCGATATTCTAGTTTGCATGCATGTTTTTCTCTCCCCCTACTGTATCTGCTTCAGAATAACTCACCACCTCCTCATTTCCTCCTCCAGAAGCCGCAGACATGTGTGACGATGAAGAGACCACCGCCCTCGTCTGTGACAACGGCTCCGGCCTGGTGAAGACTGGCTTCGCTGGAGACGATGCTCCCAGAGCCGTCTTCCCTCCATCGTGGGCCGCCCCCGCCACCAGGTACACAAGAGCATCCCTCAAAAACTAAATCATACATAAGATTTGTTCATTTAATCCCTTACAAAAACAAGGTCTGATCCTAAAGTTTTTAGCTACCTTATCTTATATATCAATATACTTATTTCATTATGTGACTGATTAAAAAATCTGCAGTAGTTAAGCAGCGAACCAAGAGGTTAAAGTCACCTTTGTTTCGGTGCTTGGTATAAATTTTAACGGTGATTTCTACGACCTTATGACCTTTTATCTGCTGCCACCTTCAGGCCAACGTATTATTTTTCTAGTTGACTGAAATTAGGACCTATACGAGTAGACATTTTACCATATTGAGTACTTTTTTGATTTGATATGAGTAATTTTTATCTAACTGATAAATACATTTTAATCTCAGCGTATATTTTTTTAGCACAAAGAATGTCCACATGCAGAATAGATGGGCTCAGGATGTAACTAAGAAATAAAAGTATTTCTCATTTCAAGAGCTTTAGTGGAAAATGAACATAACCTGTGTACTCTCATGTTCCGAATAACCCAGCTTCCCCAAATGTCTTTTTGGTGTCTATCTACGCCGGGATCCTGAGTCGTGGCTGATCCTGTTGCTGTGGTCCTGAGTCCTGGATCCTCTATCCTGAGTCCTGGATCCTCTATCCTGAGTCCTGGATCCTCTATCCTGAGTCCTGGATCCTCTATCCTGAGTCCTGGATCCTCTATCCTGAGTCCTGGACCCTCTATCCTGAGTCCTGGATCCTCTATCCTGAGTCCTGGACCCTCTATCCTGAGTCCTGGATCCTCTATCCTGAGTCCTGGACCCTCTATCCTGAGTCCTGGATCCTCTATCCTGAGTCCTGAGTCCTGGACCCTCTATCCTGAGTCCTGGACCCTCTATCCTGAGTTCTGGATTTGAGTCCTGGAGTAGTGTAAATGTAACATTAGCCGCGTTCACACCAAGTACTTTCCTGTACTTAGTTCCGGCACTAAGAGCCCTGGCGCTTTTAACCCCAGGGTACTTAGTACAGATCGCGTTCACACCGGAGTACTTTTCCCTGAGGGAAGATTACAAGTACAGTAGGTGGCGGTAAGCACCTTAAAGTTGTTTGCAACCCGCTACAAAACAAGAGAAGAAGAAAAACTGACTGTACAGGATCTGTTTAATCGCCATGTCGGTTTTCTTTATTGCACTCTCAAGACATAACATTAAATAGAAATATTTTAAATGTAACTAAAGTGTCAGTTGTACATGTCAGTAAACATTGTCAATATAAAATAAAGTGTCAGTTGTACTATATAATAACAGTAATAACAATATAAAATAAACTCCCAGCTGTAGGGAGTCTCAGCAGCAAACCCACCTTTATTATATATCTTCCTGAGACCCACTGCATCCGTCTGCCATAAACACTATGCAAACATACATGTTAGTTTTTGGCCCATAGTGGACTCCATGTTGTGTTGTGTGAAATGGGGGGAATTAAAAGTTTAGGTCAAATAATATTTAAATTATATAAAATTGTCATATTTGTGTATGTGCCCCTGCCATTCCCCCACAAGGTTGCAACATTGATGATAAATAAATGACAAATAAGCTTTGCCAGTTTATAACCGATGAAACATGATGGTATCAGAATAATCACTTACATGTGATGTATAGGATGCTACACAGGTCACAAAAGATAAAGTGTCAGGAGAAATAAGCTTAATCGCCATGTCGGTTTTCTTTATTGCACTCTCAAGACATAACATTAAATAGAACAATTTTAAATGTAAATAAAGTGTCAGTTGTACATGTCAGTAAACATATATATAAAATAAAGTCATAACAGTAATAACAATATAAAATAAACTGTCCCAGGTGTAGGGATATTCCCAGCAGCATGCACACCTTAGTGCAACGTTGTGTGTCGTGTGTCAGTATTTACAAAAACTATACCAAATAAACTGTTATTAAATGCAGTTTGTCGCTCATCCTGCCGCTGCGCCGACGCTTCCTCATGGCGCAGCGCCCACACTTCATCCTGGTGCTGCTGGCGCTCCATCTGCTGCCTGGCGCTCCATCGAGGTGAGCATCTTGTCCTCCGTTTCCTGGGCCTTGGTGAACAGCACCATCTGATCTCCACGCAGCGACTCATTCACCACGGCACGCCGGTCCTCCAACGCCTGGGCGGTGTCAAAGAAATTCGCATCCCGTGTCCGCTTTCCTAAGAGGGGAAAATAAGCAATATACAATATACAAGTTTAGTCGCCATGTAGTTTTACAACATACTAGGAATGTGTTTTTTGTATTTTCACAAATAGAATTAAGGTTTCACAAATCTGAAACTGTGTTATAAAGAATCTTTTGACTCTCTGGGATAATCCAGTCCAGATTTGATGAGTGTAGGTATAGTGGTTTTAGATCAGGACCTGGTCTAATGTGGTCTACATGTAAAAAAAGCACTGAAATCTCCCTTTTTTTTATTTTCACAAATAGAATTAAGGTTTCACAAATCTGAAACTGTGTTATAAAGAATGTTTGGCCTCTCTGGGATAATCCAGTCCAAATAAATCGGCTATGCAGCGATTTAAGAGGTTCAAACACGGAGGATTGTTCCTTTTTGAAGAGTGCTTCATGTATGCTTGAACTTTGTTTAATGTTGTTGAGGCAAGTTAAACATAAAATATGATGAATATTATGAAATAAACATGATTGTGAACATCAGTTCGATGCGTAACGTTCTTTCAAGACAAAATTACAGGTGTGTACCTTTGCGTTTGGTTGCTGGTAAGGAGGACGACAAAGCGCTGTGATCTAGAATGCAAAGCTCACTTGTTTCCAATCCCGAGAGTTGTCCATCCTCGCCTGAAACAGACGATTAGTGCCATGAGTTAGTGAAGCAAATTACAGAAACACTGCACAGTTATTCACAAGTCAAAACGTTTTCATACAGCGGAGAATATCTAGCTAGCTAGATGTAGCTAGCCGGGACCGGTGTTAGCCTATTATGGCTAGCATGGCTAGCTTGATCTACTGAGCAAATAAAAGTACATCTGAGACCATTATTGTGCAGATTAAAACCCCAGTGCATGTAGTTGATTTTACCTTCATCGTGGTAGTCATCGTTGGCCACTGAATCCGCCGTTTGTAGTCCTGAGTTTCTTTATATTTAGCCGGCTGTGCACAATTCCCAGGTCGAGTGAAAGCTACCGAACTGGCTTCAGTAGCATTCCCTGGGTCGCCTCCTCGGCGTAGATCTCCAGAAGCGCCGACACCTCCTCATCATTTCTTGATGCTTGCCATAACTGCTTTCAAAACACAACACAACGCACGGAGCGTTGTGTTTTGTAGCGAGGAAAAACAATGGCGTCTCCACACAACATTTTCAGAGTTGTACGGGCGTGGTTTGCAATTCGCCCAGCCAATCAGCACTGGGGAACTTTTGGAGCACTTTTCACCCACAGAAAAGTACGCTCTCTGAGCTGGCTCTAAAAATGGGGGTAAAAGTACCCGAGATTAAGTACGATTTTTGGTGTGAACGCGACATAAGGGGTACTCACGGAACTAAAACGCGAAAAGTACGGTGAAAGTACTCCGGTGTGAACGCGGCTATTGCTCCTCCATCAAGATGTTGGACTAGAGCCTACATTTCCCAGAATGCAACTTGATATCAACCACTCTGACATTAT